GCCAAAGATGTTTCTAATTTTTGTTAACAATAGGAATTAAACCTAGGGAATTTAAATTAGCTTCAGTGGTAGCCAAAGGAATTGTGGAAACATATGGGCAAAACAAGAAATTACTAACTCAAAGAAATTGCTAACTCGAAGATACTAAAAGAACATGTTTCGGAAAGAAAATATTCAGTGTTAAAACTATGTAGATTTTTTTATGAAAAATGAGCTTAATTGATAAAAATAGTCCTATATAATAAAACCCTAATATGCAAATGGACCACTGACCACCATGGGGAGCGCCACTCAGCCAAAAGCTGTGATCACGGCTGGTGAGTGCAGCGGGGAGTGCTCCCGCCTCTGCAGCAGCACTAAGGAGCAACGAGCAGGCGGACAGTAAGGAGCAAGGGGTCCCAGACTCAAGAGGGCGCAGGCTGGGCTGAGGGACCCCCTCCTCCCCAGTGCATGTATTTTGTGCACCAGGCCTCAAAGTAGTGATAATAATAATGATCTCATCCCAAGACATGTCACAGGAATTAATGACTGTCTGGAAGCTAATGGGCTCTCAGAATTAGTCTTGCTTAATGAAATGCTGTTAGTTTAGTAAACGAATGCTTAAAATCACAGCAAAAAATTCAGAGCTGCCATCAAACCTGGCTGAGTTACAGGGGGGGAGGGGAAGACTAATGCAAAAATGTGTCATGTGCTGCTCTTACTCACTTTTTTATTTGTAACTCAGAAAAAATATATTCTTCATTTTTTCTCTCATATGTCTGTCTTCCACTTTTACTCTGACAATGTTTACTTGTGGTTTGTTTTATTGACAGATTTAAGCTATTAATAAATAATGTAACTCCTTCGTAGGCAGACATATCAAATATAAATTATGATCACTTTAAATCATTTTATTTTAAATACTCTGATGTGAAGAAAATGGGCTTTAGAATATTGTCTCCAAATTATACTGGACTTAGGAGCCATTCCACAACATCTTTATACTAACAACCTACCTCCTGATTCTCCTCTCTCCAGACTCACTTTTCCTCATAATCTAAAGCTAGCTGCCAAATTATAGAATTTACCCAATCATGCCATTTTCCTGCTTGAAAACCTATGCCCATTTCTAGATGTTCCCTGTATCCGTTTTTTATATTTTGTTTTGTTTATTTTTATTGTAAAATATATCCTGATAGGGAAAACATTTAGACAAAAACATTTGAAGTGAACAGGACATATCCTCTGACCCACAGTCTCCATCTTCACTTCCTAAGATAACCAAGGCTAACACTTTCTTGTATCTTCTTCCAGACACTTCCACCTTGCATCAGTTCTAAACTAAGCCAGACACTTTAAGACAGAGGTTCTCAACCTGTGGGTCGCGACCCCTTTGGGGTCGAATGACCC